AAAAAATCAGTCACTTTTTTATTTTCTCAGTGGCCCTAAGCCTCTTCCGTAGACTTGTGTTCTATAACTTATACCTTCTCTATATATAAGTTATTGCACTGTTTTCCTTCTGCCTGCTGGGCCTTTCCGGCAGCATCCAGGTCGCTTATTTGCGCAGCTTCTGGTTAAATAAGTGAAATTAAAAGGTTGCAAGTCCCCTTGTTATTTCCGCTGCCATTACCCACACAGAAACGTCCGCCCCTTTTGAAGCCCACACACTTCCTCCATCAGACGGATCAGCCACAAACAGAGACAGCCTGCTGCTGCTGCTGCTGCTGCTGCTGCTGCTGCCTTTCAGGAATCCAACTCAAACCCTGCTGTCACACTCAGGGGACCCGGCCGGTCCTGCGGCATGCCGTCTGTCACTGTCTTCTTCTGCTAAACAACTTATTAAACATTGGCCTATTTTTGTTCCCAGGCGAGGGTGTTTTCTCCTCAGCTCAAAGGTTTGAGTCTTGGATCGAGTTAAACGGATTAAAGAAAGAGTGAAAGATGAATAACAGCTCAGCAAACTGCAGAGCCGGAACCAGGTGAGCTAACTGAGCTGCTAACTGAGCTGCTAACTTTATTACCAGTTAGCTAAACAACTGTTACTACCTGAAACTATGTAGCTAACTGCTCATTAGCATGTAGCCTCGTTGTAACTCGTTAATTTAATTGGTCCAATGCCGGGGGTACGGGTTCGAATCCCGGTTGTGTGGGTTTAAATGCTGGGGACAGGTAGCAACCTTATTTCACCTGCTGTGTAGCGATGGTTTAAAGCGGAGGTCTTCAACAGGGGGTCCGCGACCCCTAGGGGGTCCACAGAGGTACTGCATGGGGGTCACGAAAGTTTCGGTTGATTAGACTTTTTTTTATATACCCCCTGCAATCTTTTTCCACTAATTGAAATGTCTTTAAATAAACATTAACATGAATTCAACACGCTGTAGTAAACAGATAAATGGAGGAAGAAGATGTCTTTCAGTCATCAATGCACACATTCAGAGACACACAGGAGCTCTTTCAAGCTGGGCACCTTTTCTTTCACAACACCTGTCCCATCAACCAGGAAGCAGAATCAGAAACGCTTTAATAATCCCAGGGAGAAATTACTTACATTACATTACTCCATCTGTAATAGAGTGAATATAGGACCAGTTTGATAGAACACTATTTCATATAATATATATAATTAGGGGATCCATCTCACCATCAGTTTGGGGGCCCTTGGCCCGAAAAATGCTGAAAAAACCCCTGGTTTAAAGTTTGACTTTAACACACTAGTGTGGAGTTTGTTCACTAGATGTCAAGAAAAACAATGTATTTTTATTATTTAGTCACAAATAATTAAGATCCAGCTCCACAAACAAAAGAATTAAGCCTTCGTAGGGAATGATGGTTATAGTGGTTAGGGCATAGAGCTTGGAATTATCAAACCCACTCCCACAGACTGTCACTCTGGCCCTTTGAGCAGGACCCTTAACCCCACCCCGCTCCCCGGGCGCCCCAGGATGGCAGCCCACTGCTCCCCAAGGGGATGGGTTAAATGCAGCGGTAAATTTCTCCAATGTGAGATCAATAAAGTTCATTTATAATTATGATGATTATTAGGACAGAGCTGAGCGATACAGACTTAAGTTTAATCACCATATTTTGTGATACTGTTAGATAAGGATTAAACTTATTATTTAAAAAAAAGAACTCTTATTTCTTTGCAGTCTTTCTTAGATAACTGAATGATCCCATTCATGGACCCAGAAGCATAAAAAAATATACACATTTAAATTAGGCTTCTTCTGGACAATAGTTACATAAATAAGTCTGATATGTAAACTACGGTATTTTCACAACCATAAGGCGCATCGTACTAAAAGGCTCAGTCTCAGTTATGTGTGTCATTTCTGTATTTAACACACACATAAGGCGCATTGGATTATAGGGCGCG